TTTCTTTTCTTTTCTTTTTTTTTTTCCCCTCCCCTCCCCTCTGCAGAGAGGAGCCTCTGAGAATCCCCTGCTGACTCCAGGCAGAGGCACAGGCAGCACTGGGAGGAACTGGGAGCCCCTCTCCCCATCGTGCTGCGGAGCCATGAGCAGCGCCGTGGTCCTCACCCATCTTCCAGATCCCAGCAGCAGCTTCAGGGAAGACGCTCCCCGACCCCCTGTCCCTGGGGAGGAAGGTGAAGCACCATGTCCCCAACTCGCCACCACCTCCTTTCTCCCCAAAAGCCAAAGCTTCAAGGCCATGCCGCTGCCTCCTGCCCCACGGAGGAATGAGAACGGACTCGGGGAGCCGGAAGGTAGCGCGTCCCCAGACTCCCCGTTGGCCAGATGGACCAAATCTTTGCATTCCTTGTTGGGAGATCAAGATGGTGCCTATCTTTTTCGAACCTTCCTGGAAAGGGAAAAATGTGTGGATACCTTAGACTTTTGGTTTGCCTGCAATGGTTTCAGGCAGATGGACCTTAAGGATACCAAAACTTTAAGAGTAGCCAAAGCTATATACAAAAGGTACATCGAGAACAACAGCATCGTCTCCAAGCAGCTCAAACCTGCTACCAAGACCTACATAAGGGATAGCATCAAGAAGCAGCAGATAGATTCGATCATGTTTGATCAGGCACAGACTGAGATTCAGACTGTGATGGAGGAAAATGCTTACCAGATGTTTTTAACTTCTGATATATACCTCGAATATGTAAGGAGTGGAGGAGAGAATCCTGCTTACATGAACGGCAACGGACTGGGGAGCTTAAAAGTTGTCTGTGGCTATCTACCAACCTTGAATGAAGAAGAGGAATGGAGCTGTGCAGACTTTAAAAACAAAATCTTGCCTTCGGTTGTTGGACTATCCAGCAAGACGTTGAGGGTTACGGCGAATGTCCGAGCTACGGAAACGATGGAGAACGGATACAGGTAGGGGAACCTCTGGAAACTTGTGCTTTGTTTTAACTTTGAGGACTTGGAGAATGCTTTTTGGAAGGCTGTTGGGGTGGTGCTGGGGAATGAGCAGGGGGTCGAGGGGCAGCTGGGCTTCCCGTGGGGCTGGGAGCATGGGTGCTTCCCCGCACCCTCAAACACTGGAATTTTTGGGGTGTTGGCTTCGTTTGGGTTTTTGGTTGTTTTTCTCTGAGTACAGAAGAAAGCAAGATACTGTGCTCTCAAGCCCTACTGGCTCTTTCAGTTCTCTTATAGATCAAAAACTTCATAGCAACTATGTCCTCCGGACATACGTTAATTACTGGTTCAACTTTCAAACCTATTAAGAGTAGTAGTAGAGTGGATCATATAGACGCATGAATAATGTAACCTACTAGTTCCCCAAGTCCACCATCAACCAGTGTTTTAACTATGTTGGTTATGTGGGAAGCAATTGTGCGGTCATGGAGGAGGAAATGTGTGCACTTCTTACATCAAACTCTTGCAACTTGCACCAAATCTGCTTTTATTTTGACCCTGCGTGTCTGTGATCTGCAGCCTCTCCCATCGCGTTGGGTGTTGGTATCGTGTCAAAGCCATTGAGGATGGCTTTGAGCCAAGGCATGCAGGAAGAAACTTAGAATTGAGTAGTTAAGGTAGTAGAGATGATCCAGGTATAGAGTAGTAGTAGGAGGCTGTTGGGGCTCTCCTGGAGGCTGTTGGGGCTCTCCTGGAGGCTGTTGGGGCTCTCCTGTTGGCCGTGTACTCAAAGTTAAACTCATTAGGACGTGGTTGTGTCTCATGGCAGCTCACGAGGATGCGAGGAGTGTTGTGTGGTGGCAGGGTCTTCTTGTGTCCTTGGCTTGGGGTGCATCTGCGTTGCTGAGTCCTTCTCTTTTGTTGGAAATGTTGGTGGCACAGCAGTGTCAGGGTGAAGAAAGTTGTGGTAGTTTAACCAGGAGAAAAGTTAAGAGCCATCTCGAAATGAAGGGGGGGGGGGGGGGTGTGGAGGGATGGGAGAGAGACTCTGATGAGCAAATGATGAGTTGTATAATCCTCTGAAAATGTATTCTTTCCTCTCCCCACCCTTGCCATAAACGTGGATTGTTGAATCAGGGCTGAGGAGAGGGCTCTGCTGGCAGATGTGCTCTCTCCTCTGCTAGCCCAGGAGCTTGGGGTTTGGTACGGTGAGTGTTTGACATCTCCTTTACCGGAATTTTGAGAGTGTGTCTGTGATTCATGGACATCAAAGGACATCCATCAAGCTTCTCCTAAGGAAGCTTTGCTGGAGCGTGCACTCCTTTCCTGCCCTGTTGAGAGCTTCCAGCTGTGCTGGGCTTCCCGGTGCTGAGCTGCCGGGAAGGTCCTCTCATATGTGAGGGTGCTGCTGAGCTCTTTGGTCCTCTCTTGGAGGCCCTCCCTGCCGGTGAAGGGGCAGTGGAGGGATGATGGGCGTGGGTGCAGCCAGGAGGGATGTGCAGCCAGGAGGGATGTCCTTCATCCCGTCGTGGCCTCTGGACCTCTCCTGCTGGGGGGCTGTGTGGGGTGGGGGATACTCGCTGGTAACTGGTCTGTGGAGGACTTGGGTTTTGGGATCCTTATCTCATGCCTGAATGTTACTGTCTGAACATCTGCTGTTCTCCAGAACCTGGTTTGAACTGCTGCCCTTCGCTTGCTTTCCAGGAGGGGGATGTTTGATGCTTTCATCTCTCAGCCTTTGTTGGTATTCAGTGCTGGAAGGGTTTGGCTGTCATGTCCTACCAGAGCTGCAGGCCCTGCTAAAAACCCACATGTGCCTTGTCCAGGAGAGCTCTCGCAGAATGGTGGCTGCTTGCCTGATTAGTGCTGGGGTTTTTTTTTTTCCTTTTCTTTTTTTCTTTTCTCTTTTTTTTTTTTTGTCTGGGGATTAATGCAGCTTGCTCCTCACATGTCAGATCTACCCTCCTAGGACATTAGGTGGTGCATTTTGCTTTGATCACCTTCTGTTGAATTTTCAGGAGCTTTTGCTCTCCATGGGGCCAAGAGATCTCAATGCAAAGAGAAGGGAGGTCAAGCTGAGATGCTTCTCGGTTCCTCCCTGAGCTATCCATTTGTGAAGCCACTTGTGCGTGTATGTGCTAGAAGCTGATGAGCATATGGATGGGTTATCTCTCATCACTCGGCATTTAAGATTGCGTTTAGGATTGGAGCTGAAGCTTGCACAAAGTCTTTCCTGGTGAGTGGCCAAACCACACCTCCCTCCTCGTGTGTGTGATGGAATTAAAGACTTTCTGCTCGGTGTGTTACGGTTTTGAAGTGCTCTGCAGGCTCTTGCCATTCGCTTCGGTGGGTTTCAATGTGATTATATATACTGGTGAAAACTGGGAGCTTTGGGCTGTGCACACCTGATGGTGGTGGGAGCAGAGGAATTTCAGGCCAGCCTGGTGTTTGGATGGGAGACCACCTGGAAATCCTAGGGCATGGAGTCACGGCCAAAAACACAGCAAAAGGGAGACCACAGAAACCGTACAAGTTGAAAGACTTTGGCCCCAGCACCAGTGATGGACAGGAACAGGAGAAGTCAAGTGAAAACACGGTGTTTGCTCCTGGCTGCAAAACAGGGACGTGCATGCAAACTGCTGGTTGTATATTTGGAGCCCTAATACAGGGAATATTTTAAATGTAGAACCTCCTTCTTGTCCTTCAAAGTAACTCCCCTCCCCTCTTAAGTTTGTGGTGTGGTTAAAACTGGCCTCCCCACGCGGCTCTGGACCTGGCCCCATGCTCCAGGAATTCCAGCTATTATTTATACGCGCTTCTAAATTTATCACACACGAGTTTGTGTACACAGAGAGTGTTTCTTCCTTTGCAGTGCCGCCGCCGAGCGTGGTCTTGTGCCGTCCAAGGTGGACTCATCTGCCTCCCATTAAACTCTTTAAGACCGGTGGGACTGGCCTTGGTTTGGGAAGGTTGGGGCTTGCAGATGGCTTTCTGCCGGCTCCCAGTGCTTCCTGGCCTTTGAAAGGACCCGCCGGTGGAGCTCCTTGTGTGTGAAGTTATTGGAACCAAGTTTGGCTTCAATTATCAAAGTAAATGATGCCATTGTAAAGCTATGCTCCAAGCAGTGTTCTACAATTAGAGCATGGAAGCGGTGATTAACATAGTTTTGTTAAAATATACCTTTTTTTTTTTCCCTCCCCCCTCCAGTTTGTGCATGTGTGGTTTTTTTTCCCTTTATTTTTATCTTTAAACTCATGATTGCCCAGTGATGTTTGTCCCAAGAAAATATTTAATGAGATTTATTTTCGCCTCAAAATGCTCCTTGTAGATTTTCTTCTCTATCTATAAATCCATGGTTTGAATTGCCAGAGTGCTTTTATTTCTAAGAACTAGTTTGACAATAACAAAAATAAAATAAATAATAATTAATAAATTAATAAAAAAACCATCTTACACTCTGAAATTGCACCCTGAAAACAGGGGACATAACCAAGAGCCCCTGAAATTTTCATGGCAGTATAATACCTCTGCTATGCCCATTGCTTAACATAGCATCTAGAGAGTTACATGCCGTGTGTCATCACATCGAGATAAGAATAGGCTGAGGGACATCAGACATTCTCCTTGAAGCTCCAGAGCAACTGCTACCTGACAGCTGAAAACACTTTGCCTGTTGAGTTTGGAGCTGGGGTGGGTGTGTGTTTGTGTGTGTGCAGCATCTGTGGCAGGAGACCCACCGCTTTCTGTTGGAATTTAAAACCCTCGCAGGCAACTTGATGCATCTGGGTGTAATTACTGTAGTAAGGTGGTCAAGTTAAAAAAAAAAAAAAGTAATAATAAAAAATAAAAAAATTAAATGTAACAAAACAGCCCCCACTGGTTTTGTTAAAGGATTTCTCTGGGGCAGGGTGGTGGAGATGGAGTGTGGGGGCTTACTTGAAAAATATGCCAACTTTAGGGATTTTGTTTGGTTGGTTTTTGTCCATGAGGTGTTGGTAGGTGAACTGGTGCTGCGGTCTGGTACTAATGGGAAGATGAGTTAGTTCTGGCCACTTTCTCTAATTATATCTTTCCAAACACTGTGTTTGGACACACCTCCTCTCCCTGTTCATACAGACCTGATGCCTCTGCCCCCATCCCAGCCTCTCCAGCAATCCATCTACTGGAAGGACATAGCAAAACAGCCCTCCTGGATGCAACCAGGGATGAGAGATGTTTCCCAAGCAAGGTGGTGGTCCTGTGTTGTGGAGCATCTTCCACCCCTGAGGTTTCATAGAGCATCTTCCACCCTTGAGCCCTCGTGGAGTATCCTCCACCCCTGAGCCTTGTGGTCCTCAGTTGTGCTCTCAAGACCTGAGATAGTTTCAAATCAAATAGTTATAAGAGCTGCATCCCTTACACCAGTGACCCAGATGCCCACCAAGGTCCTGGGATGGGTCACTTGGACTGCACATCCCCCCAAATCAGAGTAGAAGACTACATGACCTTATCGCTCTCTACAACTACCTGAAGGGAGGTTTGTAGAGAGGTGGGTGTTGGTCTCTTCTCCCGGGTAACGGGTGACAGAACAAGAAGAAATGGCTGCAAGTTGCACCAGGGGAGGTTTAGGTTGGATATTAGGAAAAATTTCTTCACAGAAAGGATAATCAAACATTGGAACAGGCTGCCCAGGGAAGTGGTGGAGTCACCATCCCTGGTGGTATTTAAAAGATGGGTAGATGAGGTGTTTAGGGACATGGTTTAGAAGTGGGATTGGTAGTGATAGGTTAATGGTTGGACTCAGTGATCTTAAAGGTCTTTTCCAACCACTATTCTATGTTGTTTTTTTTCTTAGAGGAAGTTTTTTGGTAGTAGGAGTAGGATAACTTAGCTTTCACCCACATGTGGAATTAATTTATCTTTGAAGATTTAACTTCTTTCCTGTGGCATTCCTTACTATCTCTTTTTTTTTTTTTTTTTTTCTTTTTTCTTTTTCCCTCTCCTTCTTCCCAGATATATATTTTTTAACATCTTGATCTCCCCATCAGAAATACCATGGCCTCCTTCAGAAAGGAATGTGGCCCCGGCTGGGCTGAATACCTGCCTGAAGCCAGCCCCACGCCTCCCATACCAGAGAGGGCTGAATCCCTGCCTGCAGCCAGCCCCACGCCTCCCATACCAGAGAGGCCTGTCTTCCCCACCATGCTTCCCCCTCCTTTTTTTATGTCTTTTTTTCCCTTTTTATTTAAACTTTAGGCTTTGTGGAGGCTCCTGTTTCCAGTGCTGGTGAAGCAGGAACGTGGGGTGTCCGGTTGTTGGTGAGGGATGGAGAGTGGGTGGTGGGAGGACATTGCTGTTCATTTAAAGCCAGCTGGACCCCCATGGGGGCAGGGAGGTGAAAAACCCATTTTTAAAAAAAACCCAAACCTGCCGAGCCTGCTGACACATTCCTTAGGCCCCCAAGTCCTGGGTAAGTGGCCCTAATTATTAAAATCAGCAATCCTTATCAGATGACAAGGCCTTTGGCTTTGATATACAAAAGGCAGAAGCTTAACAACCCCATCTTGTCCTGGAAGAGGAACAAAATGTGCATCTTAACATGTGGCTTTCAAACCTCCCTGCATAATCCCCTTATCGCCTGCCCAGGATATGTCTATTGATCCTGGCTGGGAAGGTGGAGTAAGGGGAAGTAGTGGGCAAAGGGATGTCCAGGTCCCCCTTTGAGGTGACCCTGCCATGGTGACCTCGCCACGTTCCGTCACAGCTCATGTCTCTGCCCATGAATTTTTCATGCGTCCACTCTTGTGTACTCAACTCAAACATCCAGGCTGGGCTCTGGGTTTGCTTCTCCAGGTGAAGCCAAGGGTGGTGGTATCAGTAACCCACATGCCAATTAATACAACCTGCTGCTCCTGTCCTCACATCCCCCATCCTCCTCTTCCCCACCCAACCATCCTCCTCTTCCCCACCCAACCATCCTCCTCTTCCCCACCCAACCATCCTCCTCTTCCCCACCCAACCATCCTCCTCTTCCCCACCCAACCATCCTCCTCTTCCCCACCCAACCATCCTCCTCTTCCCCACCCAACTCTACGCACAACACCACAAGTTGAACAAATAGTAGGTTCTCCTAAAAACTTGGCTTTTTTTATTGCATGTGTTTGTACTGCCAGGAAGATGGCACCCATCTTTGGGAGGCCAAGCCTGAGACAGCAGATTTCAGCCTTGTCCCTGCCTTCTCTGATGTGTGGTGGTCCTGCTCCAGTAGTTTCAGGCAGTTCTCTTGTTTCAGGCAACACAGATACCACAATTTGTATTCCCAAAGGGGTCCTAACTTCTATCTTCAGAGCAGACTGAGCATTTATTAGCTGATGCATCAATGGCTTTCGGTGGAACTTAAGCTATGAACTTCTTGATCTTTTGCCTGCTGATGCCAATAGCAAAACTCCTGCTGACCTCAGCAGGGCAACATCAAGCTTTAAGGACTAAGTTTTTGAAGATATCAAAGTATGTAGAGGTGCTTCCTGAGATTTTCTGAAATGCGCTTCCAATGCTAAAAGCAACATCTTTGAAGTTGGACTTTAGATGTCTTTAGACAGAGTGTGTCCAGGTTGCTGCTGGTCTGAGCAATGGGTGGTTAGTTACTTCTACAGAGGTTGAAGTCCACGTGCATGGTTCCCATAAGGAGAGAGCTACCATGAAACTTGTGTGCTTTTCTCTAGCCCGAGACTGGCTGGTAACTAGATTCCTGTTTTGCTTGTCCCTAGGTCCTTCAAGAGGAACGATCCCGTTAACCCATACCATGTGAATTCTGGTTATGTTTTTGCCCCAGCAACCAGCGCGAACGATAGTGAAATATCTAGTGATGCCCTGACGGATGACTCCATGTCAATGACGGACAGCAGCGTGTAAGTATCTCACGTTGGCCGGGTCCTTTTGGGATGCACCATCTGTGATTCAGCTGCGCCGAGGCACCGTGGGGGCTTACGGGAGTGATGGGTCTGGGGGTCACCACCCTACTTCTGCTCACCGTTGACTAGGGGCTGCCAAAACAGAGGTGTAGGCCTGAACCAAGAGGTGTAGCAATGCTTGGTAGCCTCATTCTTCGTGCAGTCGCCGGAGGTGTTGGATGGAGTGGAATGATGAATCCCTCTGTTGCCATTTCAGCTGAGCAAACGTGTTTTCTCCTGTGCTCATGGTGCTGCCTGACTAACCCAAGGAGCCTATCTCCCTCAGCCTTTGTCTTAAGGCCAGGCTTCCTTAACTAGTTATCAGCCATCAAAGAGGAGGAGATTACTTCCTGTAGGAAGTACTTTCTGTAATTAAGGTTTGTCATTAATGTCAGAACGTACATTAATAAGGTCAGTGACCTGAAGGGGCAAATAGCTGCTCATCTAGTGTGGCTGGGGTTGGCTTCAAAGAGCCAGTTGAATGGAGCTGCATGGATCAGGTCTGGGTGTTTGAGGAGTGTAGGGATGAGAGATGATGCTGTGGCTGAGCCAGGAATTGTAGGTTCTGTTTTTTTCTCTTGTTTCTGCTGAGAAGTGTGCAACTGAGAGCAAGTCCTTGGACCATTCTTCCTTGGTTTGCTTTTGGACCAAGGAAGAGAAGTGGTGCTTTTGTGTCTGTAGAGGAGACAGTAAGGCTGACTTAGTGCTCTTGAGGACCATTTTCCTCAACTGGGCAAAAGGCAGATGGTTTGGTTTGTGTTTCATGATCTTCATTCTGGAAAAGCCCACCTATAAACAGAGTGTTGTGATCCTGGTCTTCATCTCATAGGTGAAACTTCTCCAGTGTCTCTTGTCAGACGTGTCCAGTGATTACTGTGTACTGAGCAACCTGGTCTAGTGGAAGGTGTCCCTGCTGCTGGCAGGGGGGTTGGAACTGGATGAGCTTTAAGGTCCCTTCCAACCCAAACCAGTCTATGATTCTGTGATTCTACTCCTCGAAGAGGTTTACTTGCTGGGTTTTTAAAGTCAACATGTGTGATGATACACAACAGAAAATAGGATTTACCAAAAATCCTTGATGTGTAAATAAACAAAAGCTTTTTTTTTTTTTCCCTTTTTAATGCACATGTGTGTTTTGAACTGATATTATGGAAAAAAAAAATAAGTTTGTTGTCCCACCAGATTCCCTTATTGAACAATATTGGCATTAAATAAAAGAGCTGAATCATAGGGTGACTTCTTTATTTCTTCTTACTGGCTCTGGTTTGTATGTGATCATGTGTCAACAGAGCATTCATTGGGTTAGTCATTTCTGGACCAGTGTAGGGTCACTTGGGATTCACAGGGCTAGGATTATACCCTCTCTTCACAGCAATGCCAATTGTAGGCCTTATACAGATGAGAGCACTGAGTGAGAAATAAAGTGCATGGTGGATGAAAGGCTTAACTGAATCGCTTTCAGCCCATTGTTAGTCCAGGGGAGCTTAGCGGGGATGAGAGGGCAGCAGCCCGCTTTGAAATTTTGCTTGAACAAGTGAATAGGAGCTCCCCAGAAAGCAACGCGTGAAAGGAGCCTGCCTGGCTTGGTGGGGTTTTTTTTTTTCCCCTGCTGTAACAATGGCCTGAGCAAAGCTGTGAGAGTTTGGGGAAAGCTTGGCTGAAGCGCCAGGTCTGTGTGTGTGTGTGTGTGTGTGTGTGTGTGGGAGGGGGTTGGGTTGGGTTGGGATGGGATGGGATGGGATGGAGGAGTTTGGAGGAATATTTCCTACTGTAGAACTCATCCCCTGGGTATCCCCCAAAGCCACGTTTCATCCGTGGGACCCGGGAGCAGACAAGCACGTTGGGTGTTTTATTGGAAGTGGGAGAAGTAAATTGGCAGTTGGGAAGGTTGGGTTTAAAGTTAAGGCTGATGTAAAAAAACTTCCTTTGCAGAGGCGAAGGGTTGCTGCCAAGATTGTAGGAAAAACCTGGGGGATTTACAGCTTTTCCTGGCACCTGGCTCTGCTGGTTGTTGAAGATGCTGGGAAGGGTTTTGGGGCACAAACCCGCTGAGCTTGCACAGGCTGAGCCCGGGTGCCCGCGAGCTTTTACCCCCCCCCACTTTGAACAGAGGACCCGGGTTTATTCTGTTTTGTCAGTGTGAATGCAAATTAGTTCTTTTGGCTTATGTTGGTATCAACTGAAGAGGAAAAACTTGTTCTGGAAAAGTCTATCAGACATAGCAGTAAAGTGTGGGGGGTTTTTTAAAATTATTTTTTAAATAAATCTAAATCTGAACTGTGCTGGAATTAGGAGAGGTCTCAAAATAATGCCCAATCTGCTTTTTTTTTATTATTATTATTATTATTATAGATGCCAGGGATCAGTCTGTCCATATATATTTTGCAAAAGCCACAAAGTGATGATTTTTTTTTTTTTTTTTTTTTTGGGGGGGGGGGGGGGGGGGAGAGAAAAGGGGATATATTTTTATTTTTTTTTTTATTTGCTTATATCTTATTTATGGATTTACTTTGGACACAGGGGAATGCTGCTGAGCAAACTTCAAATATTACCTTATCTTACAAACCAGGCTTTTGATGTTGGCAAGATCAGAGGGTTGTTTCAGAGCCGTTGCCAAATGAAGATGGGAGTGAATGCATATGCGCATGAGTCTGATATTTCAAAGCAGCAGTAAAACTACATTCAGGTTAGGTCAGGCACATCTGAGTCAAAAGGCTAAGATAATTGGCTCAGCTTAAATGGCAGCTGACTGGGTAGAAGACTTCAAACTAGTGTTTCCCCCAGAAACAGATTGGCTTCGCCCCAGCCTGGTTAGCTGAAATGTTTATAATTAAACTCTACTATTTAGTGCCTAAACTCTGTAGCTCTTCAACTCGCAGCTTTTAATAGCCAAGAAAGTGAGTGCAAATGTTTTCTTCTGGAGCAAGGGGAGAGAGGTGGCACCTGGAGAGCTGGGGTTAACCCTTGTCCTGCTCAGACACCTCTGGCCAAGCTCAGCTTTTTTATTTCAAAGGCATTTGCTCCTGGTCTGGGGGGTCTGTTTTAGTGTCAGGGTTCTCCCCACCCCCCATATCTCTTGCTGTGCTGAGCCTGGCTCCAGGTCCATCCATCTGTCCCTCGGGCAGTTGGGGATCACCCCTTGGGCACCCCTTCAACCCTGGCCTTGTCCATTTCCCCCTGTTTTACATGGAATCCCTGGGTTTGGGCACACTCCATCAAAGGGGCTCTACAAGTCCTTCCCCATTCCCCAGGATGACTCTCCTGAGCTGCTCCACAACCTTCCCATCCCAGTGAAATACCTCCTTTTTTTAAAAAAAATCTTTTTTGTATTCTGCACGTTATTACAAGTTGTAAAACTCTTCTGACAAGGCAGAGCTGTAGAAGCAGAGGGTAGGAGGTTTGATGTGGGGCTCTCCGGTGCTACCAGAGGACTTTTAGGGGGAAGGAGCAGCTTTTGGACCAACCTGAAAGAGGGCAAATCTGAAATAAAGTGAGGAGCCATGCTGTTGGGTCAGCCTTGCTTTTCCTCCTCCTTTTCAAACCACCCTGCCTGGAAAAAGTGTGAGTCCCCACTTCTGCTCCATAGCCTGTCCCTGGACTGTCTCTTTGGGCAGAGATGGTCCCCGCAGAGTTGGGAGCTTGGGCACACCCCAGCTTGGTGGCCACAGCAGGGGGGCCGGGAATGGCATCTTGTGCTTGCAGCTCTGGAGAGAGCTGAGGAGCACAGGAGGGCAGTGGGTCTCCCTGTTGTCCCTTGGTTGTTGTCCTTGAGTGCCTTGTGTTGAACGCACAGACCTTCATCTGCTTC